TTGGATTTCAGATTTCCAGATAAAGAGCATTCAACATTAGGACAGGTAGACATCTTAATATACAGAGAGAGCTCACCTGTGGAACTCATTGCCACAAGATGCAGTGATGGCTTTGAGGATAGAAATACCCCCAGTCTGTAATCTCGGTATAGATTTCCAGATAAAGAGCATTCAACATTAGGACAGGTAGACATCTTCATATACAGAGAGAGCTCATCTGCGGAACTCATTGCCACAAGATGCAGTGATGGCTTTGAGGAATATCTCCAGTCTGAAAATATGGTAGATCTGTCTCTTATCACAGCAGAACTTGGGGGGCAATAATTTTGGGAGGAGACTACAATATCCATAATCCCTGGCAAAGAAGTTGGGGATTCTTTGTGTTGTAATCCCAAACAGTTACTTCTTACTTCCCGAAACTTTGATATCATTGCAGTGTACGTTCTCGGGTGCCAACAAGCACTTAATTGTGCATTGAATTTTAATAAGAGTTAATTAAGTTGATTCTTATCAACTCATAAAAAAATATTGTCTTCGATATTGACGTGGGAGGACAAAATGCATGCAATTCGCAAGAAGAAGCGGAGTATAAATAATAATCATCATCACCATAATGCAGATATGTGTAATCATTACGTTCCCCCAAATCTATTTCTCAAATAGTATTTGCCTTTCCCTCATATGACTCACAACGCAAGTTAGAACAAAATACAGTCCAAATAATGGGTAATGCAAAAGTTGAAAGAGTGATGAAACTTACTGAAAACGGATGGAAAAACAAATCACGGTTGAGCATCTCTTAGAAATGAAGTTAGAACATTAGAAAAACATAATTGCAGTTGTGCGTCTCGTATCCAGAAGGCTGAAGTCGGGCGAGATAGCGACACCTTCACCTTCTGATGATTCAGCGTACATAAACTTTGTGTCATGCACAGGATTATGAAAAAAAATATTGTATAAAATTACCTTCAGGCTATATGGATATAAAAATTTAATGAATTTCATGTTTAGACTTGGGTCCCATCTCTGAGATATCTCTCACGATGTACGCGAAAGTGAACTCCGGGATTCCAAAAACCCCGAGCGTTGCAAATCGAGAGTGCCGGCTCACCTTTTACCTGCTGTGGTTTTTAACTGTTTTGATGGATATTTACTCTGAATTTTTTAAAGTGCTGTTTATGTTTGATTCTATTTTAATGTTTGCATATTTGTATATTTTAATTTTTTAAATTTCTAATATTATAATGTAATGCAATATCATACTAATCATAGAATCCTAGAGTTGGAAGAGACCTCATGGGCCATCCAGTCCCTTGCCAAGAAGCAGGAATATTGCATTCAAATCACCCCTGACAGATGGCCATCCAGCCTCTGTTTAAAAGCTTCCAAAGAAGGAGCCTCCACCACACTCTGGGGCAGAGAGTTCCACTGCTGTACGGCTAGATCATAGAATCCTAGAGTTGGAAGAGACCTCATGGGCCATCCAGTCCAACCCCCTGCCACGAAGCAGGAATATTGCATTCAAATCAGCCCTGACAGATGGCCATCCAGCCTCTGTTTAAAAGCTTCCAAAGAAGGAGCCTCCACCACACTCCGGGGCAGAGAGTTCCACTGCTGAACGGCTCTCACAGTCAGGAAATTCTTCCTCGTGTTCAGATGGAATCTCCTTTCTTGTAGTTTGAAGCCATTGTTCCGCGTCCTAGTCTCCAAGGAAGCAGAAAACAAGCTTGCTCCCTCCTCCCTGTGACTTCATCTCACATATTTATACATGGCTATCATATCTCTCGTAAATAAACAAATATTTTGAATTGTATACTTTTTTTTCATGTCAGGAGCGACTTGCAAGTCGCTTCAGGTGTGAGAAAATTGGCCGTCTGCAAGGATGTTGCCCAGGGGCACCCTGATATGTTGATGTTTTACCATCCTTGTGGGAGGCTTCTCTCATGCCCCTGCATGGGGAGCTGGAGCTGACATAGGGAGCTCACCTGTTCTCTCCCCGATTCGACCTGTTGGTTTTCAGTCCTGCCGGCACAAGGGTCAAACCTCCTCTGAATTGTATACTAATGCTTTTATGTCAAGCCGCTTTGAGTCCCCTTTGGGGAGATAAAGCGGGGTATCAATAATCTATAAATAAATACGTAATGTTCGTTTGTGGGATTAACATAACTCATAAACCACTGGACGAATGGACACCAAATTTGGACACAATACACCTATCAGGCCAACGAGTGACCATCAATTACAAAAACACTGATTGAAACTTAAAAAGCCAAAAAAAATTGCATTACATATATATATACACACAAAACACATATACACAATATTATTAAATTAATTATTTTACTCTATTGTTTTTATTACAGTTATTAATTTAGTCTATTTTATTATTATATATTTTTATTTTACTCTATTATTGTTATTACATTTACATTATTTTACTTATTACATTTACATCATTTTACTCTATTACATTTATTATTTTACTCTATTATTATTACACTTATTGTTTTACTCTATTATTATTACATTTATTTTAATCTTATTATTGGAAGGATACGTAAGCATATTTACATTGGAGAAGGGTAGAATAATGATTTAATCAGAGTTGGACAGTCTTATGTAAACATTTGAAAACATTGAACCTACTCATGACTCAATTAACGTAATTTTATTGGTATATATATTTTTATTTTGAAATTTACCTATAGCTGCTACATTTCCCACCCTTAGCTTATACTCGAATCAATACGTATTCCTAGTTTTGTTTTTGTTTTTTGTGTGTGTGGCAAAACTAGGTGCCTCAGGTCAGCTTATACGCGAGTATATACGGTATATGTTGGGTGTCAATTTTCGTTATTATGGGTGTATTGTTGTTATGTTCAGGCACTGAATGTTTGCCTTTTATGTTTGTAATCCGCCCTGAGTCCCCCCGGGGAGATAGGGCAGAATATAAAGAATGTTTTTATTATTATTATTCAAGCGGAAGAACTTCTCCTTCTTATCTCTGCAGGCAAATCCTGGAAATCTCTAACTCCGTCCCAGAAGAGGCCCTATGTCGAAGAGGCGGAGCGGCTGCGTGTCCAGCACATGCACGACTACCCAACCTACAAATACCGCCCGAGAAGAAAGAAACAAGTCAAACGGATCTGTAAGCGGGTGGATCCTGGTTTCCTGCTGGGCAACCTCTCCAGGGATCAAGACCCTTTGCTAGAGAAGAGGGCGTGCGGCCGGGCAGCGGGTGAGAAAGATGGCCAGATTGAATATTCTCCCACTTCGGTGTTGCCGAGCCTTGGGCGGTACCGGGAGGCACCGGTTGGAAGCGGCAACCTCGGTGCTCACATGGACAGCTACCCGTATGGCTTGCCCACGCCACCGGAGATGTCTCCGTTGGATGTGATTGACCCGGAGCAAAGCTTCTTCTCCACCCCTTGCTCTGAAGACCCTCATCGACCCCACATGCCTGGAGCCCCCTACTCTCTGGAATACAACACCAGCCCTCTCCAGTGTAACCGGCCTCTAACCCACATGCCTTCGTCCTCTATCCATCCTGCTCCATCGAGCTGCTCGGGAAATTCAGGAAATTATTACTCACCTGTTTTCCACCCCGCTCTCCAGACCCCCGCTCTCCAGGCCCACCTCGGCCAGCTTTCTCCTCCCCCAGAGCACCAGAACTTCGACACCCTGGACCCCTTGAGCCAAGACGACTTACTGGAGGAAATGGATCGCGACGAGTTCGACCAGTATCTCAACGCACCCGGAGGACACCCGGAGCCTAGCGGGCTGCTCATCAGTGGACACGTCCAGGTCTCCCAGGTGGCCGGAGGGGCACTAGTTGCTTCTATCTCCTCAGCCCCGTCCACCTCGTCCGAGGCCAGTCTCATTTCGGTCCTTGCAGATGCGACAGCGACCTACTACAACAACTATGGCGTTCCCTAGGCCGGAGAGAGGCCAAACCATCCCCATGGACCAATGGTGGAAAGACTGGACTATGCTATGTGACCAAAAAGACAGACGGTGGACATCTCCAATCTCTCTCGCCTCCTCTCCTCAGGGTTGCCCCATTGTTTTGGAGCGGACCTTTGGCTAAGTCGTCATTATAATTTATCTAAGTCATTGCTATCATTTGTCAAATCCCTCCCACCCTAATCTTGACTTCAGAATGATAGTTTTCTCTTACCGGCAAGGACAATGCAAGGGTTGACTTTTCGCTTTGTGGCTGGGATGGCAGAGAAAACTCCGGTTCAGCTGGGCAGGTATATATTTTGCTGCGATAGGACTGTAAAACACCATAGTTAGCAACTGATCTTGTACCTTGAAATTCGTATATTTGGGTGAGAAAGGAGTCTATGGTTCTGAGACTAGTAAACAAAATGGATGGCAAAACATGTGGTAAGCTTGACTGCTGGGAGCGCACTCTTCCAACTCCCTTGCCTCCAGAAAAGATGCCAACTGTCCATTTCTACCTTTGAGACGGCAGTGATTCTGCTCATTCGGTTGCAAGACAGAAGCAGGCAGGTGGCATCCTCATCAGTTCAGAGAAGCTAGTTTGAATCCATAATTCAGTGTTTCTCAACCTTCCCTATACACAACCCCTTAACCCAGTTCCTCATGTTGTGGGGACCCCCAACCATAAAATTAGTTTTGCTGCTATTTCATAACTATAATTTTGCTACTGTTATGAATCATCAATGTAAATATCTGATATGCAGGATGTATTTTCATTCACTGGACCAAATTTGGCACAAACGCCTGATACACCCAAATTTGAATACTTGTGGGGTTGGGGATTGATTTTGTCATTTGGGAGTTGTAGTTGCTGGGATTTATAGTTAACCTACTATTAAAGAGCATTCTGAACTCCACCAATGATGGAACTGAACCAAACTTGGCATACAGAACTCCTGTGACCAACAGAAAATCCTGGAAGGGTTTGGTGGGCATTGACCTTGAGTTTTGGAGTTGTAGTTCACTTACATCCAGAGGGCACTGTAGACTCACAGAAAATACTGGGTTTGGTGGGCATTGACCTTGAGTTTTGGAGTTGTAGTTCACTTACATCCAGAGGGCACTGTAGACTCTCAGAAAATACTGGAAGGGTTTGGTGGGCATTGACTTTGAGTTTTGGAGTTGTAGTTCACTTATGTCCAGAGAACACTGTGGACTCAAACAGTGATAGATCTAGACCAAACTTGGCATGAATCCTCAATATGCCCAAATGTGATCACTAAAAGAGTTTGGGGATAATAGACCCTGACATTTGGGAGTTGTAGTTGCTGGGATTTTTAGTTTACTTACAATCAAAGAGCATTCTGAACCATCCACCAAGGATGGAGCCAAACCAAACTTGGCACACAAAACTCCCACGACCAACAGAAAATACTGGAAGGGTTTGGTGGGCATTGACCTTGAGTTTTTGAGTTGTAGTTCACTTATGTCCAGAGAGCACTGTGGACTCAGTGATAGATCTAGACGAAACTTGATACAAATCCTCAATATGCCCAAATGTGAACACTGGTAGAGTTCGAGGAAAATAGACCGTGACATTTGGGAGTTGTAGTTGCTGGGATTTATAGTTCACCTAGAATCAAAGAGAATTCTGAACCGTACCAAAGATAGAATTGGGCCAAACTTTCCATACAGAACCCTCATGCCTTTAAGGGACTCGCTGGTGAGAGCCTCACTCCTGCCCCACACGCTCTCCCTTGCTTGCACATGCAGCCATGCACCAAACACGCCTGTTCTCCCCTCCTCTGCTTGGAGTCTCAGAAACAGCCCTCCCCATTGGCTGAGAGGCTGGCCAATCATAGCAGAGGAGGGATTTTGGTAAGAGGATTTGCCATCTGATTCCAAAAAGGAAGAGAAGGACAGGTTTAGAGATCTTCAGCCTTCTCTGCCAAAGGGGTTCCGAAGACCATCAGAAATATATGTTTTGTGGTGGTCTTTGGTGACCCCTCTGAAACCGTCCTGTAACCCCCCCCCCCCCGGGATCCCAACCCCCAGGTTGAGAAACACTGGCATAGACCCTTTGACAGTCAATACAATCTATAGCAATTATTGGAAGGCTAAATCATTTTGATCAGAATCAATGTTGAAAAAAATACGATGGAATCAGAGTTACAAATTCTGTCTTGAATTCCAAATTTATGTCAGTTTTTTTTCCAATGCAGCCATGCGTTGCTTGCATTTTGCAACACTTTCCTGCTATTGGATTCTTCAATTCTGTTAAGGGTGTGTGTGTGTGTGTGTGTGTGTGTGTATATATATATATATATATATATATGTATTTGCACAAAAATTAAATAATTCCAGGATTATTGGCTGTTAAAAGTGTATGTGTTTTAAGGACTCTATACAGAGTTGGGAAACGATTTGTTAAGCTCCTAAGATTAATGGCACCTTCTGTATGCCTCCAGATTGGTAATACTAGTTTTTGCATTAGTTGTTACAAGAAGAATCACACTGCCATCTTTTACATGTCTCTGAAGCACCTTCATGGTTCATTTTACATTTTAACTACATGATCGGTTCATGCTTTTATTTGCTTTTCTGTTCATGCTTTTGTTTGCTCCTCACTTTTTAAAATCTATTTGGTGACAATTGTGCCTGAACCAATTATATTTTTTGTATCTTGAGTATCTGATTATTTCTTTTCCCTATTATTATAGTAAATCCTCCACATTTGCTGGTGTTAGGGGCCGAAAGTGGAAAAAAACACAAAAATATTATTTCTAAATGTGAAGGAACACCTTTAGGTTCTCCGGAATGATTCTTATGGCCATTGGACATTGACCGTAAAATGGCTCTGGAGGACCTTCAGATACTTAGAGAAGTGTATTGTCAAAGGCTTTCATGGCCGGAATCACTGGGTTGTTGTAGGTTTTTCCGGGCTATATGGCCATGTTCTAGAGGCATTTTCTCCTGGCTATATGGCCATGTTCTAGAGGCATTTTCTCCTCTAGAACATGGCCATATAGCCCGGAAAAACCTACAACAACTTAGAAAAGTGTTGTTACATCTTGCAACATGACTTTATGGTCGGTTCTGCTGAAAATTGGCCATAGAATTGTGTTGTAGGTCCTATCAATACTTAGAAAAAGTGTTCTCTCATGGAATAGGTAGGTCCTCCACCATGATTCTGGAGAAACCGGTAGAATTTGACCATAAAATTGTACTGGGAGACCTAGGTATAAAATCAACAATTTTCGGCTGTTCTCTTAACACCCTTGGGCAAACTTGGGCCCTCCATTTATTTTGGACTTCAACTCCCAGAACATCTGCTGCTGTCTTAATATCTTAGAGCAGGCATGGACAAACTTGGGCCTTCCAGATGTTTTGGACCTCCAACTCCCAGATCTGCTGTTTTAACACCCTAGAGCAGGCATGGGGAAACTTGGGCCCTCCAGATATTTTGGACTTCAACCCCCAGATCTTCTGCTGTCTACACCCTAGAGCAGGCATGGGCAAACTAGGGCCCTCCACGTGTTTTGGACTGCAATTCCCAGATCTTCTGCTGTCTTAACACCCTAGAGCAGGTATGGGCAAACTTGGGCCTTCCAGATGTTTTGGACCTCCAACTCCCAGATATTATGTTCTCCCACACCCTAGAGCAGGCATGGGCAAACTTGGGCCCTCCAGATATTTTGGACTTCCAACTCCCAGATCTTCTATCTTAACACCCAAGAGCAGGCATGGGCAAAATTGGGCCCTCAAGGTGTTTTACACTTCAACTCCCAGATATTCTGTTGTCCTAACACCCTAGAGCAGGCATGGACAAACTTGGGTCCTCCAGATATTTTGGACTTCCAACTCCCAGATCTTCTGCTGTCTTAACACCCTAGAGCAGGCATGGGCAAACTTGGGCCCTCCAGGTGTTTTGGACTGCAACTCTCATAATTCCATAATTCCTCATAATTGTGGGAGTTGGAGTCCAAAACACCTGGAGGGCCCAAGTTTGCAGAGAATTGCCAATGTGGATATCACCAAGGATCCATTCCTTATAAACAACACATTTGTTTCCTATGTTATTGCTACTCGAACCATCTTGGGTACTTTCAGATAGAAAAGTTTGCATCATTTGCTGCAAATTGGGCTTAGTTTTGAGGGCTCAGTACTTTTTGGAAGAGATGGCTAAATAGACCTTGTTAAACTACAACTCCCACAATTCCCGAGCATTCAACCATCACAATTAGTGTCAAACTGCATTCATTCTACACTGTAGATGCACTCTTGAAACTGCCATGGCTATGGGATACTGGGAGATGTAGTTTGATGAGGCAGCAGTCCTCTTTGACAAGAGAATGAGAAAGACCTTGCAAAACTACAGCTCCCATTATTGCATAGCATTGCATTGGGCCATGGCACTTAAAGTGGTACCAAACTGCATTAATTTTGCAGTGCAGACGCCCACAGGATGCTTTTAGAGACAAATGCTTTACCACAAAAATGACCAAACCCTTATGTGTGTATGTATATATATGAAATTACACAATTTTAAAAAAAATCTGTGCCAAAATAAAATTAGGTCAAAGATCAATCTTATCTATTTTTCTTTGAACTGAGAATATCTATGGAAAAGGTTGAGTCCTAATGCACAATGCACTATATGGTTGCTTACATTGCATTTGCATATTGTTGTTTATTCAATATGGAAAAGGCAGCAGAGATTTCTGTCCATGCTCAGAGACACTGTTGGTTGCTTCACATGTTCCTGGGTCCATATAAGTCTTGGAAGGACTTGGATTGTGTGCATTTGATTTAATGACATTTTTGTTATCTCAAATTTATATTTCACTCCTAAACTTTACCTCTTTGCTGGTACAACGCCTGAGGAATCCTCTGTTGGGAAAGAAATTCATAATACAAATGTTTTGTTTATATCAGGCACGGGCAAACTTGGGCCCTCCAGGTGTTTTGGACTCCAACTCCCATAATTCCTAACAGCTGGTAGGCTGTTAGGAATTATGGGAGTTGCAATCCAAAACACCTGGAGGGCCCAAGTTTGCCCGTGCCTGGTTATATTAAGCTGTCCTTGTTTTATTTCTGTCTGAAATAATATTGTACATATCTATATATGTTGTTGTATACTATTCTTTGATCCATCTCACTTTTTGTATTGCCCGGATTTCTTGCCTTGATGCAAAATGGACTGTGTTGCTTTGTTAATCGGTTATTTAACAGAGTCAATCTGAATGTAATTATTCATCAGTTCTGTTTTTTGGTGGTCATTTTTTCCCCCTTCTGATTTTGTTCCTGGAGTGTGAGGTTTAATATACCAATGATACTTTTATATATATATGTGTGTGTGTATATAAAACCAAAAATAAATAAAATGTCACGAAACTTATGCTAAATTATGGTATCTTCTTTTATATTGCAAACCAATAACAGACATAACCCTTGACTGATGTAAGATGCATCTACACTGTAGAATGAATACAGTTTGGCACCACTTTAACTGTCGCGGCTCCATGCGATGGAACCCTGGGATGTATAGTTTGGTAAGGAGGACCGACTTAAGGAGCTGGGCATGTTTAGCCTGAAGAAGAGAAGGCTGAGAGGAGATATGATAGCCATTTAT